ATAATAATTTCGGGAATGATTTAAAAAAAATAAGAAAAAGGGAAGTATTGAATAAAAAAAATATATAAAAGTAAAAATATGTGAAATTCTCTTCTTTTTTTAAGAAAAAAAGTAAAAGAATGTAGAAAATTTTAAAAAATAAAAAGTTTTGTGAAAATTTTTAAAAAATTAAAAAGTAAAAGAAAGTTGGAATTAAAAAATAAATATAAAGGTATCTGAAAATTTTAAAAATTTAAAGTAATTGAAAGTAGCATTTTTGAAAGAAAAAGAAAAGATAGTGGTTTGTTTTTTTAAAGAAAAGTTAAATAAAGTGAGATTCTCTTTTAAAAAAATAAAAAGTGGGATTTTAAATAAGATAAAGTAATTAAAGTTGGAATTTTAAAAATAAAAGTAAAAAAATGTGGGATTTCTTTTTCTAAAAAAATAAAAACAATTTGTAAGTGGGATTTCTTTTAATTAAAAAAATAAAACAAAATAAAAAAATAAATCTGAAAATTTCGAAAATTTTGCTATAAATAGAAGAGAAAATTTAGGAAGAAGTGAGTTGAAAAAAGAGGAAACACTAGATAGAGAGAAGAAGAAAAGAGGGGGCGGAGAAAGCAGTATACACTCGATATACATTCTGGATACACAGAATATACAGGGACAGAATTCATTTTGGAGAGAGTAAAAAAGATAGAAATAAATTTTCTGAAATATTGAGAGCGGAAGAACACCATAGAGAGTTCAAATCTAGAAAGAAAAAATAAAGAGAGATTTCTGCACTATTTGTCTTCTCCATTTTTACTAGTTTTCTCCGTGTTGCTGGGATTTCTGGACTGAGGTGTTGAAGCTACTGTGTTAGGCTTTCTGCTGCTGTATGTTGCTGTGTTACATACTACTTAGCTGATCTTCTTCTTCTTGTACTGTCATTTCCAGGTACACATTTGTACACTCTCGGCTTGAAGCGAAATGAAATATTAATCANTAATACAGAGTCATTCTTTTCCTCGATCCGGGATTAAATTGGTGACTTGGGACACCCTAAATCTCCCAAGTGGCGACTCTGAAATAAATAAACAAATCTCATTTCGATTGTCCTTTAATTGGAAAAAACTCCTTGCACCCTCGCGGGGGCGGAAAAAGGAGGTGCGACAGTTATCCTTGCGTGAGCTTTCGCCAAATCTTTCTCGACCTTAGTCAGGTCAGTTGCATAGTCATGCACCTTTAGCCTCAAGTTGCTTATAATATTTTCATCCCACTCACTCCTCACAGGCGTTTCAGCGGATATCATCATTTCCCGGAGTTGGGCTCGGAGTGTCATGTTCTCACAAGTCAACCTTTTCTTTTCACCTTCAGCTTCTTGTGTCTGTAAGTCATTCTCAAATGTGAGGCTTCTCAACTTTTCTTCTAAGGCGTGAATGGTTTTTTGATATCCCTTCTCCTTTTCTCCCCAGACTAACCGTTCTCGGATTTTATCATCAAAAGCCTGAATATGAGGACTTTTGGCATGCCTTTCGGGCTCAGGCTCATAATCAACACGGGACCTTTTCTTGAAACATATAGCATAACCTGGGTCCACTTCACCTCTCGCAGGATATGGCACCTGGGTATCATCTTTCAAGTACCGACATCCATTCCAAATTTGTTGGATTAAAGTCTCCGGGAGTGGAGCTTTTGGGTATAGCTCAATGACTTGGACACTCAAATCTTCATCTTCGGGCACCACTTGGTACCTTCCCAGCTGTCTTAGAACTCTCTGCGGTGCATATGGTTGGACACTTCTCAAACCCATCAGTGACAAATAGCTTATTGAAGTCGTCATGTGTATCACTTCCCTTACCGGGAGCCATCCCAAAGTTCATTCAATTTGACTCGCCTTTAAAGATCTTAGATGGGATATACATGCTTCAAACCCTTCTAAAGAATTGTAATCTTTTACCCTTTCCTCGTAACTCTCAATTAAATTGTTCTTGTTCAGGTCGTAACTCATGAATTTCGGGTGATGGTGGAGATGCTCAATCAACCACATTTGCAACAGAATATTTCACCCTTCAAAGAACTTTGCCCCGGATTCACACAACGTCAATGCTCGATAAATGTCTGAAAGTATAACTGGAGCAAGTGTGTGATTCTCTTTGGTAGCGAGGCCTTGCACGATTCTGGCCATGCGGATATCAATTGTCCGCACTTCATTTTGGAAGACCATAATTCCCAGAAATGCCACTATGAAAGCAAAGCCCCGATGAATTTGTCATATGTCATTATTCTGCTTGTTGTTTAGGCCCTTTTTATGTATTTCAAACCCATTTGAGTGCCCGAACCTGGAGTACATAAAGTAGAAAGAACATCACCCTCCGTTTACGTTGTATTTCCTGACTTGCTTACTGATATTCAAAAGATCTAAGAATCGATGCATAGAGAGAGTCCTTGGGAATATAAGTTCCTAGTTTTTCAGGTCCCTGCCGAACCCAAAATATCCAGTTATTTCTTCCAAAGTGGGAGTAAGATCAAAATCCGAGAAGCGGAAGACATTGTGAACGGGATCCCAAAAAGTTACTAAAGCGATAATCAGATCATCCCGCGGTTTGAATTTTCTAATATTTGTAAGAGCGCCCAAATGCTTTGTTACCCAATCCTGACCATCTTCATCTAAGTCGTACCACCACATCTGAAGCTGTAGTGGAGCCTGCTCTACAACTGTTAATGGCGGGTTCCAGACAATGTGCATTTTTTTACCTATGGATGGTTAGGGTTAGGGTTAACTATAGTTCGAAAGACAAACTAATGGACTCTTTTTACAAATCAAGCTTTCAGTTTTCTAAGGAAAAATCATCGGGAGAGTGACCATTTATGCAATATTAGCCCTAAAGCAAAGGTGGCTATTTTTGTAGCAATTGCCCCTTCACACTTTCAAGTAAGTTTGAGGCCGGGGAAGGGCACTTTATGGGAAAAAGTGACGCCCTATTGACAGACATGTCTGTTCTTGCGAGAATAGCCCTTCTACAATATTGGAGGTGTTCTAAGGCTATTTTGGCAAATATGGCTCGAGACGTAACCGAAGCTGGGTCGGCTTACTCTTTTGACAAAAAAACCGGACACATTTATTACTTTTGGTTATTTTTGCAAAAATGAAGTCGAACTCTATGGAGGTTGCCTACGTATCTAACATCCGGTGAGAATCAGACATGCGTAGTTCGGTCAGTTTTGACACTACCAAGAAAACATGTTTTTTGAAGATATTGACTCATTTTGAAATGAATGTCTTTTTCATTTTTGTTTTTAGAATTTCTTTTCAAAATTTCGGCAAAGTTTCGAGACTTTTTCAAATACCGGGGTTTTTCAGAACCCGGTCAATTTCTCTCTCCTACCTCATTCTTAGTTTTTCTCTTGATTTTCTTTCTCTAGACGATCAACATGCAAGCTGAAATAAATAAATGCATAAATATCACGTATGATGTATCAGGATGGTCTTTTATTTTGGGTGCATCTGTCCTAGACGGACCAAACCCATGTGTTGAATCCCCGAAGTCAAATCCATGTGATGCAAACAAACGTTCCTACTTTTAAAAATCTGGGTGTACGTTCTAAACATGACTTACCCAAGAGGACAGCTCGAGCTGAGGTGGGGGGTAATATACCGGGAGCACAAAAATCTACCTAGTCTAGTTGTTGATCCAACCTCGTTTTATTTGGTACGACCTCTAACAGAAAAGTGGGTCACGCGTACGTATGCACCATATTTTTAGAAGACTCAAAGAGGAGGCGTAAGAAGACAGTTTAATACAATTCAAATAATATCAAAGCGGTAAATGAGCGGCAATTAGCACATTAAGCCCACAAACACAATAATATCAACAATCAGAAAGTCAAGTATAGATCACATTATAAGCTTGAATTCTGAACCATGAACCAGAGATTTTGGTTCAATCCCGAGCAGAGTCGCCAAAATTGTCACACCTCCTTTTTTCGAGGGATAGAGATTTTTTTCAATTAAAGTGACATTAATTGAAATTGGATTATTTATTTAATTTAGATAGAGAGTTGCCACTTGAAATAATTATTATGGTGTCCCAAGTCATCGGTTTATTTTAAATCCCAAGTCGAGGATATTGACTCAGTTTTACGGTCCGCAAAACACAAAAGACCGGGTAAGGAATTCTGTTAACCTAGACGAAGGTATGAGGCACTCCCAAATTTCGTAGTTTTAGCACGGTCGCTTTTAATCATACCTGGCTTAGTTAACTGTTTAATTACTCGTTTTTAGAACCTATTTACATTTACTTTTTACCGCTTGTAATTATGGCGTTTTATGGATTAATCTTTGAAACGAATCATATGTGTGTAAACCCATTTTATTTGGGTGCACTAAGAATCATATCACACGTACGTGTACACAATTGATCACGCTTTATTATATGAGTATTGTTTGGCCAAAGTCACACGAACGCGTACTTTGATTTATTTTAAAAAAAATTATAATTATGTCATGCGAACATATACACAATCACGATAATAAACAGAACGTGCCTGAAGCATCCGCCGAATGTTTATAAGTGGATTGAGTTTCCTAAGATCTGAGGTTTGTTTGTAAAGGATCAAAGGTTGTGAAGTTTAAACGTTTTAACAGGGAGGAATTAAAGAAGTTAGTCGAAAAATAAACTTCTCAAATTTGTAGCGGACGTTTTTTGCATAATACTGAAAAGTGTGGACTTCCATTACCTAAGACCTACTGAAAGTGAATATTTTTGGGAGCTTCATTAAAAAGAAGAAAGATGCAGCAACTATATTTGCAAGAGATTGAACCAAGGCTCAGCTTTCATGATTCAAATAATCCAAGGCTTGTCGTAACCCATAGGAAATTAGGTGTAATATACAGATATATTCAGTACTTTGTTCACAAATAAATGACTGAACATGATAAATATTTGCCAATTCTTACCATAGACATAACCAAGAACAAGTTTGGAAACTAGCAATTAAGTAGCAACAGTTAATGGCGATTTATACACAGTTCTAAATATTGAGATATAAAAACCATATTAATGGACCAAAAGGTTGCATTTAATTCCATACTTGAAGCAATAACATTATCTTGAACTAAATTAACTGAATAGTGCACTCATAAATCAAAAATACTACTCAATGGAAGAAGTTTCACTTAGTTACAAATTAATTGATACAAGAAAAAACTACTGAAATCAGAAACCAGGCTATAGCATTGTAATTAATTAATCCGCATGTCATTACAAACGATTTCCACAACCCAGCAGCTTCTACAATAACGTAGGGGAGAGCTGATTGCCTCAAATGGCTTCAGTGATGTTTAAAATCTGTCATTCAAGACCTTCAACACAAGCAGATGTAGATGAAATTCGAACCACCATCATAGACTCATAAAGAAAAACACCAAATAAACTTTCCAAATTATTCAAATCCATCAATAGCAACTCAAACCTTAACAAACAAAGATCAAACAAAAACAGAATTGATTTTCCATGACTATTTTTACTACTTAGGTTTCTAGCATGTATATGAATTTATCACACCAGTTACTTCAACCTAAACTCAAATTTACAGTCACATGAAGGAACATCCAGCAGATACGTAAACCAATAAACCATGAATATTTTATAACAAAACAAAATTCCAGCGTCAATTACATGGCTTGAAGTCAGAATAGGTACCTTAAAATGCAGTAATAGAACTTAGAGTGGCCAAATAAAAGCTAAAACTAGAGAAGAAACTCGGTAAAACTCAGGAGGCAACATCAAATAAGCAGAAAACGGCAAGAACAAACCCCAGAATGAACCTCGACTTCAATTCAGATTAACGTGTGTTTTTGAAGGACAGATGCAGAGATTCAAAGCTGCTCAAATGAGTGTGTGAGTGAGCCTTATATAGAGTGTGAGTGTGCAAAAGGATAGGGAATGAGGGAGAGTCTAAGAGGGAACATATCAGCTCCTAAATTTTAGGGAAATGACATCTTTTTCAACTGAATTAGACAGGTGTCCTCTTATTCTCAAATATTTTCCCATTTTCCAGTATCTTTTTCCAACAAGATTGGACAGCTGTCCCCCTTTTTTAATAAATCCCCCTTTGTTTCAACCCTTTAAACTTTGTATTTTTACCCCTTTCACCTCAAAATCTGACCTAATATCAATTTTTTTATTACATTTTGGCCCCTTCTAGAGGCTTCCTATCAAATAACAAAAGATTCCCTAATTTTGCTTTCCCAATTAACCCCCTTAAGTTTCTGGTAATTACAAAATAGCCATACCAAAGAGATTATATGGATCAATCACAAGAAACAATAATACACAATCAAACTTGTTTCAACATCTAATTAACTCAACAATTAAGACTAATTAACATGCAATTAAATTGCTAAATCATGCAACCAATGAAAACAAATCCAAACATGTGAATACTCAAAACAAATGTACTAAGCTATGTTAATCCACTATTAATTAACTAATTTATGAGCTAAAGCTAATCTAATTAGGCTAATTTGCACTCAACAAACAAATTCAATTAAACGCCTAAACAGACTGTTCCTCTTTTCTTTTTTTCTTTTTTTAATTCTTCTTAAAACAAATAAAACAAAAATAAGATAGAATAGGGTGAGGATGTACCTAATGCAAATAAAGACGGTTCAATTGAAGCGATTTCAACGAGATTCCGCCAGACTCCGGTGTCTTCGAAACGAGCCGAAATTAACATCATTCAACTGTTCAGAACAATCAAACAATGCAAATTTCGGACCGAATCAAGTCTTGGAAACCTTGAAAAATCAAACAACGAGGACTAGGGTTTCTAGGGGGTTTTAGATCTGAAATTCGTGGAAATCTAATGGTTTTTTGAAGAAACAAAAGGGTGATATAGGATAAGGAGGAGATGGAATTTATGGGGTGAAGATTTTATGGTGCTTGGGGTGGTTGCCACCGGTCACAGGTGTGCTTGGGGAGGGAGGGAGGGCGGCTAGGGTTCAATAGAGAAAGAATGAGGAGAGTGAAGAATGAACTGATCTCTAGGGTTTTGGGGAGGGGGGATTCGGACAGTCTTAAGGGAAAGGGGGGTTAGTTCCCAACCGTTAGATGATGGGAGATCAACAGCTGGGATTAATTAGGGGTGAAACGGTAGCGTTTGGTGTTATGGGCGAACTAGATCGGGTTTATGGGCTGGGTTGGGGTGGAATTAAGGCGATTGGGCCGTTTAAAATTAGCCCAGTCCGGTTTAAAACTCAAAATAGCCCCATATTCCTTTCTTTTTTGAGAATTTTTCATAAGGGATTTTTACCTACCTATACCATATATGAAACTTTATTCCCCTAAATGTGCATAGTTTGTTAATTACCCGCCCAGTCCATGTTTTACCTACAAATTTTGTACCATTCGACTATTAGGCATTAAAAGGGCAGAATATTTCCTAAAAAACGGGCTAAAATTAAGGAGAGAATCTTGGTGTTAATTGATTCTACATTAAATTCAATTTTTAAAAAGGGAAAGGAGATTTCTCATCTGCGTATTTTTCTCTAGAACTACAATTCAAATTCTCGAAAAAAAGAACGAACAATTCAAATATTCGAGTTTCAACAACTCAAAGTTGAAAAAATCTGTTCTTCCATATATTTTCCACCATTGATAGCCATTAAAAAGCTTGAAAGCTTTGAATTCAAATTTGGATTTTCAAAAATTATTATTTGTTTGGATTGGGTGTTGTTGTAAATAATTCAGAATATGTTTAGGAGTTTATATCTTAATTTTTAGGGGTTTTAGTGAAGATTAGACTTGGTTTTGACTAAATTTTAGAAAGAAGAAGAAGAAGAAGAAGAAGAAGAAGAAGAAGAAGAAGAAGAAGAAGAAGAAGACGTATTTCCAGAAATTGTAGATAAATTGTAGTTAAATTGTAGAATTGTAGATAAATTGTAGATAAATTGTAGATAAATTGTAGATGAATTGTAGATTGGGAAGACTAAAACTTCTACAAATCTTCTACAATTATGTCGAAAATGCCAATTATGCTACAATTGAAATGAGAATTTGGATATTAAAATTCAATGTATCTATTTTATAGATATCTTATAGATAAATTGTAGATTATTTGTATTCTGATTGTAGATGCATTATTTTCTTTTTTCACAAATCCAAAACGACTAAAGCTTCTACAAAATCTTCTGCCAAAAACAGTCTACAATTTATCTACAATTTTTCTAATTTGACTACAATTTGACTACAAAATATCTACAAATTTTGAAAATATGTCTTCTTCTTCGAGTTTCAATCGACTGTGTTAACCAGTAACCTTCAACCACTGTCATTTCTTTGTTTGGACAAATAATGAACCAAACAAAGAAACAATCTTGATGTACTGGCCTAGTTTTGTCGCATTGCGCAGGAAGATAATATATTTAGGAAAATTTTGGTAGAGGACAAGAGAAGTGACATGTTATAGCTCCAGCTTTGATGTATGAAAGTACCCAACATCTCCGAGGAACAGGACAATACTGGATGAAGATAAAAAAAATGGTTAAATCATTAAAAATTTGTAAAGAAAAATAAATAATTTCACGTATTTTCTTAAAACAGAAAATGGAAAGGAAAGAGAAAGTGGGAAGATATAGTCCTATAATTATGCCTAATATAAATGAACCCTTAATTATATTCCTAATTTGAATTATGGTATAGAAATGGTAATTTGGTATGCTTAAATATAATAAACACAAACCTTAAACATTGAGGGTAATAAGGTTTCATATATGGTATAAGTAGGTAAAAATCCCTTTTCATAAAGTACCATCTTTTAGGTCTAATTAGCCATTTATAAATACCTTTTGCTATATTACGTGTTATAGATACTTTTTATGTTTTTATACAATGTATTGTATGTATTTAAGCTATTGTATTCATTAATACAATAGAAAAAATAGGCGTTAAAAAGGGAATTCCAGCTAAGGTTGATATGTATTTAACTGTATTCATGCGGCATTAACGTGAATACAGTAACGTATCTATGCAAAATTTGGAAGGTTAAACTAGTTAATAACGGAAGGAAATCAAATCACATGATATTCTCCTAATTTAACTCAACGAACAAAAACTAGTACCCATTAATCTGTATTCTGCCATACACGATTCAAGCTAAAAAAAAAAAGCAGCGAAAACCAGAGCAACATCTGTTCGAAGTTCTTCCATTCACTTCTCCTTTTTCTCTGTTCGCAGATATCAATTCAACCACAGAAAATTAGATTGATACAAATTATATATAAAATACGATAGAGTTCCTTTTATGCATATGGCAAGTTTAACAGTGTTATTGCGTCATTCTGGCAAGTGGAACGATGAGGGCAATTACATCAATTTTTCAATTGAGGGAATACTGATAAAGGAGTATGCCTCCTTTAATGATCTGGTTGCTTCAATTTCTAATCAATTGGGTATATATTTGAGCTCCAAGTCCATTGAAATTTAATACAAAGTAGAATAAAATTGCACGCCAATGGATATACACAATGATATGGGTTACAGAGTGTATGTAGAATTGAAAAAAGAGAACAGAGAATTTGGTATGTATCCTTTGTGCATAACAACTATTGAAAAAGAACTTGTATCCGGAGGTAGTTTAAATCAAGGTGACATTGTGCAAATAGACGAAGTAGTTCAAAGATACGATTCCGATACAGATGATACACTGGCTCTAGATTTTGTCAATTCAGGAGAAGCGATTGGAGTGTTCGAACTCCAAAAGGATTTGATAATTTCAAAAACTAATCAAAGGAAAATTATGGCTGGACAAGTGTATAAGGATAAGGCTACATTGAAAGAGGTGATGGAGAATTATGCTATAGCTCAAATTTTCAATTCCGGGTTGATAGGTCTAATGCTGTCAGGTTTGCATGTATTTAAGTTTTTTTGTATTTTCTATTATTGATTCGAGCTATAAGTTTAACGTTGTTGTATTTATGCGTATTTGTGGATTTCCTCTTGATTATCACATAAGTAGTTAACATATGTTTGTTTATGGTCCTTAAATACATGTATTCATATGTATTTTACTGGTATTCTTACATTACAGTGGCTCTAATTATTTTCTTATTTTGTCTACTTTGGTTTTAAGTGTATGCATATACTTAAAATTGTATTCAGTTGTATTCATTGTATTTAAATGCATATAACTATAATTAAATTCAGTAGTATAAAAATTTATATATATAGATGTCAGTATGTAAAATAATCAGATTGTATTTGTGTGTATATGAGTGAATTTTTTTGTAAACACTTATGCTAATCATATGTACAATGATTAATTCTTTGCAGCTATGCATTATTATGTATTTCAGAAGATTGTGAATGGAGGTTTAAGGCTTCAAGCACTAACAAATCAGAACTATTCAAAGTGAGAGAATTCATTGATAACCATACATGTCCGCTGAAGGACAAGGTGTATGAGCAGCGGCAGGCAAGTAGCAGCCTTATAGGTTGTATGATAAGGCCTAAGCTTACTAATCATAAGAGGAAATACACCCAAAGGATATTATTGATGATGTGAAATCAGATTTAGGTGTAGATGTTAGCTACATGTTGGCATGGAGGGCTAAAGAAAAGGAAATGAATTTTTTGAGAGGTGAATCGGCTGATTCATACAAAAAATTACCAGGATACTTATATACAATGAATATGACATATCCAGGTTCCCACATCAGAATGGTAAAATCGCCAAAAAATGAATTCATGTACGTGTATATATCTTTGTATAAAGGGGTTTGATCATTGTAGACCCATTGTTGTTGTGGATGGAAGTCACCTAAAATCTTACTACACCGGGACATTTGTTTCGGCAAGCACGTTGGATGGTGCAAGTGAGTATCTGAATTATAATACAATCTGTTAATATTTTAAATATTGAAATACATGTTTTAAAAATATGTATTCAATTGTATTTCCAGGTCATATATTGCCACTAGCATATGGTGTTATTGATTCAGAGAACGATGTTGCTTGAACGTGGTTCTTTGAGAAATTCAAGATAGCATACGGTGACAGGGAAAACATGTGCATCGTTTCAGATAGAAATGAGAGTATCATTAAATCTGTATCGAGAGTGTATCCAGATGTACCACATTTTGCTTGTATATGGCATCTATGGAACAACGTATATAAGAAATTCAAAAAGAGCCATGCCAAGTTGAGCGAGATATACTTCTCGATGGCAAAAGCATACACACAAGCTGAATTTGACAGTCTGATGGAGAAGGTGGAGAAGGTAGATATTAGGGTGAAAGAATACTTAGAGTTAGCTGGATACGAAAAGTGGGCTAGGTTGTATGCACCTGTTAATAGAGGATGGATAATAATGTCAAATATTTCTGAGTCAATCAATGCCACACTAGTTTCAGCAAGGGAATTACCAATATACGACTTCCTCGAAGAAGTTAGGAAGATGTTTGGACGTTGGAATTGTAGTAAACGCAAAGAAGCTATACAGACATACACGACGCTTGGAAAAATATACCAGGAGATGCTGACTTTGAATGAGGCAATGTCTACACGTATGACTGTAAGTTATATTTTAATGTCATTGTAGTATATAGCTTAATTGTTTTCTGAATTAATGGCATGAATACAACTGAATACAATCATTTTTTAAAATACAACTACCATGAATACAACTAAATTCAAACACATACAAGACATATTTTTCCGAAGATCTGATATGAATACAACTGAATATAACTAAAAAAATGTTGCAAAAACTATTCGAATACATCAGAATACAACTAACAATTATGTATTATATATAATTTTAATATGTATTGTCATGATGTATCCTTCTAATGTTTTTTTAGCCTCTTGTTGCCTAAAGTACATTAGACTTTTGATAAGTTCTGCACTAATTACAATTGATAGTCTGCTGGTCTAAATATAAGATGTATTCATCTGTATGCAAATATTTCAGTTGTATGTAACTGAGTAATCCAGCATTATATATATGGTAATTCAGTTATATGTGCTCAAAATTTATATTTCTATTTTTAAATGTAGGTGGTACCATCAACTGAATACTTACATACGGTTAACGATGGAGGGAGGAATTACACAGTCTGCCTGTTAGAGAAAAAATGTGTTTGTGGGAGGTTCCAAGTTGATGAATTGACATGCCCACATGCTTGGGCTGTATTGAAGAGCAAGTTTCTAATGCCAGAAGAATATTGCTCTAACTATTACAAACCAAATACTGTTGTAATGACATACGATGTGCCTGTGTACCCGCTACCGGACAGAAATGACTGGAATATACCAGCACATGTTGCAGAAGAGGTTGTACTACCACCCAAATGGAAAAGACCTCCTGGAAGGCCAAAGAAGAAGCGCGATAAACCTTTAAGTGAATTGATGCAGCCGAAAAATCAACATTCATGTAGCATATGTGGGCAGGGAGGACATAACAAGTGAACGTGTAGAAATGCTCCACGTAATAAATAGTTAACACTCTGACATGTATTGGTGCTTCAACAATTTGTCAATACTTATGATGACATTGTCAAGTAATAAATTCTCATTGTCAAGTAATAATTTCAGAAATGACTTTCGTGAATAGATTCTGAATACATATAGTTGCCTTAATGTGTTGGATACAATCAAATATAACCTTGTCCACATATACTTTGACATTTTATTATAGACAGTGCCTAAGTTATATACATAACTAGTCAGAATTCATCGGAATACATCTATATACTCAGCTGTAATATAACAATTTCAATAAGTCTGAATTTATATTCTCTAACTAGACAATAACCTGTTTAATACATTTGAATTTATATTCTTTAACAAATATTAACTGAATTTGAAAGATACATATTAAAGAATATAGCTGAATACAGAGAAATATAGCTGAATATAGAGAAATACATATGAATAATACAGTTGAGTACAACTGAATATAGTTGAATACAAAAAAATACAATTGAATACAACTAACTACTGCTGAATAAAACAGTTGAATACAACTGACTACAGCTGAATACAACTGAATACGTATAACCTGTTTAATACATCTGAATTTGTATTCTTTAATATGTATTAACTGAACTTGAAAGATACATATAAATGAATGTTGCTGAATACATCTGAATACAGCTTAATAATACAGTTGAATACAATTGAATACACCTGAATCCAGAAAAATACATCTGAATTCTTTAATATAACCTACCATCATAATACATAAAGTTTCTCACTTTGATATTAACATGTTCAATACCTAAAACCTGTTCAAGCAAAGTTACTGAATAATACATACTTGAATCATGTAAGATACATATGAATTCAAACTGAAGAATAAGCATGAATACTTATGAACAAACCAGTGAAACAGCGATTGAAAAGTTGCAATTGTCATACACGAACACTGTTGATAAAGTGATAAGTTTTTCTAACTAAATACCATCTTCACCAAAAAAACTACTCAAAACAGTATTCTTCTTCAAACTACATTCCAAAACTACATTAACTTAAAGCTACTCTAACACTATCTGCATCTTTGAATCTGACTCCGTGATTTGCCTAGCAATCTTTGAGGGTGCTTCATTCTCGCTTATGGCATCAGCGTCTATCTTCCGCATAGCATAGTCCCAGAAGAGAGTACCATATCTTTGACGGAGTAGATTGGAATCAAATGTTGTTTGTGGAATCTCACCAATAGTGCTCAGAAACTCTGTGTATGCCGCAACATGCACCCCACAATCTCTAAAAAATAATTGATTGAAACAATTAAAAATAATTCATACAATTAGATTTGTATATAACATACAAGAATGATGATTGAATACTTACATGCTCTCAGCTTTCTGTTAAGGCAGATCTGATATGAAAAAAACTTCAAAGGGATCATTATGTGACTTGTTAGTGTATGCTGAGTACGTAAACCAATCTATGCCTTGACTATCTCTGTAAAAGCCACTGATTGATAGATACAGAAGTACAAGCTTAGCTAGCTTATCAATCTCAGAAGCTACATATACATCATGACATGCAGATCTATACGAGTCATACACTTTGATACATCTCTCCTTGAATGAGACAACAGCCAATACCCAGTGTAGTTTGTCCCTCAAGTTGACTGGTATCAAGATATTATCCACAGTATGCCAAGGTACATTAGCTAGCAATCTGTAGCCCCTTATGTACTCATATACCACATCCTCTTCTTTGGCTACATTAGCATTACTATCTGTATCAGCATACCTGTCGAAGATTTCAGCGATTCTTGTCTTGAATATACAATCAACAGTTGTATACTTGAAGTTGCTTGTTTGATTGTACTTTCCCTTCTTTCTCAGATAGTAGAATATGACGTCAATATGCTATACACAAATTTAATTACATGGTGTGAGTCCAATTAATCAAACTATTAAATAATATAGTTGAATATAGAGAAATACATATGAATAATACAGTTGAGTACAACTGAATTCAGCTGAATAATACAATTGAATACAGCTGAATAAAATAGTTGAATACAACTGACTACAGTTGATTAAAACAGTTGAATACAACTGACTGCAACTGAATACAACTGAATACAGAGAAATACATATGAATAATATAGTTGAGAACAACTGAATACAACTGAAAGCAAGAAAAATACAACTGAATATAGCTGAATAATACAGTTGAATACAGAGAAATACATATGAATAATACAGTTGAGAACAACTGAATACAGCTGAAAGCAAGAAAAATACAACTGACTACAGTTGATTAAAACAGTTTAATAGAACTGACTACAACTGAATAATGATGCCATTGCATCCATCATACATTTCATCATATAAAGTGTTTGAAAACAGTAAAAATACTACAACAAAATACAATCAAATGCATGTTGTTATTCAAAGAAAATTAGTCAGTTAGGGGAAAAACTTATGTTGTCATCACATAGCTTCCCGTCAAACGATAGAAGGTAAAACCAATTTTTTGAATTAACTTGATCAACTCCAAAATCCAATGGTATATGAAGTGTTGACTTGTTCTTCTTGTAATGGTCTTCCAAATTACTTCTACAAGTATGATATAAAAAAACATTATATACATATTTTAAAATATAAAAACTTAATACACATACTGGGGGAAAACACACCTCTGATCATGTCTAGTGAGAAGACCATCACGAACCCATTTGTCATATTCCTGAATGATTAATGTAGGATGTGGCACCGTTATTGAATCATCCTCAAAGGGGTGTCTTTTTTCAAAAATGGGGGTCAACTTTACTAAGGTACATGTTGTTCATTGAATTCGTGAGTAGAGACTTTTAAATTGAAAAATCATGAGGAAATAGATTTTTAGTTTATAAAAAAACTAACATGCGGAGTCGAAGTTAGACTCATAAGGCAAAGAATACCATCTACTTAGTCGTTGATTCCTATGAGAGGTACTGGGGTTGATTCAGCTTTTTTTGCACTGTTGTGTATCACAATTCTAGTTTCTGGAATTTGATTAGGAAGAAACTTGTCGTCCAGCTTAAATTGAGATACATAGAATTCTATAGATACACCCTCTTGACCTATAGATGGTATGTTGCACGTCACCTCTGATGTAGTATTCCCCTCACCTCTTGACTCCACACATTGAGCATTAAGCACTGGTTTCTGTTAGTTGTATGTATCATTGTTAGTGTAGTAACTTAGTCTAAGAATACAGTTAAATACATATAATTACAGTAAGAAAACAGATTTTGGTAATGGAAATCTTAGTGAAATACAGCACACATATTCAAGAATAACAAATCAGAATATATTTAAATGCGGCTGAATATATTTAAATACAACAGTTAATTCCAATTACATATTAAGGTTAACATACATATGAATACATTTAAATGCATGTGTTGGTCAAATACATTTATCATTTTAGTGAGGCAGTTAAATGCTTGTCGAATACATACAACTTTTAAAATACAATTATTTAATTGTAACAGCAAACAGGAGATATAAACAAATGCTAAAGATGTTAAAAATATTAAACCTCAACATTATCTCCGACATATGTGTCAATACCATCATCACGTCTCCCTATGGGTTCCTTTCTCTGGTGTAAACTTTCATTTTGTTGATTTTATTGAAGATGGCAGAAAGCATCTTGAAGTTATCATTGATCAATGTTCTCAGAGACTTGAACTCTCCCACAACCTTAACAAGACAGAAATAATTAGAAGATTGCGCCAAAAATATATGAATGTTAAGCACTAAATTGTAATGTTTAATATGTGGTTAAATACTCACGTATTCTTTGAATGAATTTAGGTCTTTCCTCAAAGAAGATACTTCATCATTTTTGGAATATGACAGATGATTGTCATGCAAAACATTCTGTCCAAATTCGGATACACAAACAGGAGGAATCTTGGATTGATACTCTGTTTCATTATGATGCCTTTCGTGTTCCTTGCGCTTTTTATAGGGCGGTGATGAAGATGGACCAACACTTTCAACATGTTTCTTCTTACATTGAAGATCAGGTGTAGGAGAAAAGTCATCCGAATCCTCTCCTGACTTGTCTGAATGAGCAGGAGTAGGTCTGTTCTCAACATCAGTGCCTACAGGAGGAATCTGAGTAATGGCAAGCTCTATATCGCTTGGATGGATGTCCTTGTAAACAATCTGAAAAACGAAATACAATCAAAGTCTTACTACAAACATACACATGCAGATCTGGAATCAAACTGAAATTTGTATTGAAATTAATGCAGCACTAATGATTGGGAAATAATATGCAATTGTATGAAGAATTAATAATGAAGGCTACATCAGCTGTATATTGTTGTATGCATATGAATGCAAATGTATGCAGTAGCTGTATTTAAATGTATGCAGTTTCTGTATGCATTTGTATACAAGTGTATGCAGCATATTTATGCAACTGAATGCAACTGTATGTTGTTGTATGCATCCCCTGCAAATGTATGCAAAATCTGTATGCAATTGTATGCAACATACATGTAAGAATATGACAGCAAATATTATATCAGAAACTACATCAAAAACTACAACAGGTATTACAGCAGGTATTAAAGCATAAAAAATGTATCTGTATGCAACTGTATACTTCTGTATGCAAATGTATGCAGAATTAATTATTAATAAAATCTAAACTAGCCATGATGCAAATTGTATATTACCATGTTTCCGTTGTCATTGAACATGTCGTTCATCAGATAAGCAAAGTTTGGCTGATTTTCGGTGGTTCTCCAATTGAGTATTCTGGGGACCACGTCATCAACTCGGAGTGAAATTTTGGGATCAACATCTGAACAGCACTCATAAAACCACACTTGCATAGCTAGGGGCATCCCAACTATCCTGTAATACTTCTTCTGAGCATCCATCTTCTTGCTAATCGATTTTGTCAGCGCTTCAAATGCTTTTAAACCCCAATGATATATAAAATAA